CAGAAAGCCCTCCAGCATTGATTGCCTCCCATTCAAGAGGGATTAACTGGAATGCATGATCACCCCGGAGCCCACAGGACTCCGCGACTCTCTTCGTATTACATCTGACATTTCTCTTCCACAAGGCCTCACCTCGACATTACACAAAGCATTTGAAGTTGCATACAAAGACTCCCCAAAGCATCAACCGATCAGTTCCTTCCTGGTGTCACACCGATAGCCTAAACCCGGATGACATCAACGAGCATACTCCAAACAACTACGAAGATTCTCCGCCTAACGTACTCCATGAAAAGAGAGACCCACTGTGGCACTGTCCTACCTGTCCTCCCTTGTCCATCCAAGCTCACACTCTCCATAACATCTGTGTTACCTTCGCATCATCATTAGCGGGTAGTTTCCTCATCTACGCCTCCTCAACCTATCAATTGTTTCTCCCCCCGAGCTTATCTGCTTTCACACTTGTCGTCCACTAATCACCTACACTACCTTCCTCGTACAGAGAACCCGCGTTCGAGATCTGTTAGCACCGCCGACGACATGCCTGCCACCTGGCAACCACGCACTATCATCCGGCCATATGCACACTTGCCGCCTACGTTTCCTCCTCCCTAGCTGATGCATTCGCAGCTATTTGCACTGTTGCTACGACCATCTGGCCAGTGCCTGACATGATCAACCTCCCTTGCGCCCTTCATCCTCACTTACCAGCCTTCATCCCTTAGCCCTACCTGTCCATCCCTTGCAATTCAGTCCTACCTTTGCTCTCCTCCCTCGCTCTAATCCAGAACAAGAAACTGCGCTTCCCATCGAGATCCAATCTCATCATATAAAACCCATATACGATCAACTCCCGATCGTTCGTTCCACTTGTCCTCGCCCACAATGGGTTCTTCGTTGGAATTCAATTTCGCGGAATGACTCTCGACCACCTGACGATTGACCTCCACACTGTCAGACGGTACTCGTCCGTCTTAAGCCATGATTAGTGGAGCAAAGAGGTTCGACCTTGAAGTTCACACAAATTTCCAACCGCAGGAACCGCCGGAACCGCAGGTGCATGATTGGTGGAGCAAAGACGTTCGAACTTCACACAAGGTTCGAACCGCAGGAACCGCAGGTACCGCAGCTGCCCGGTCGAAAATTCCGATGAACCGATAGCACACAGCAGCCGGCACACGACCGCGCACTTCAGTTCAGACAGCACCCACACAATGACCCGCAATCAGCCATGGTGGTCTTCCTCTCACCTGCGAGACCCGTTGTTTCAAGCGCTCGGGCAGTCCTTCTGTCTGTCTGTCTTTCTGTCTGTCTGTCTGTGTTGCGCCCTGACAAAAATTTCCGTCTTCTATCGATGGATGAATTACAACTCTCCGGACACACATATTTTAATAGAGGAGGCGACAGCACATAAAAGTCTTTTCTTTTCTATTTTTTTTTTTTACACACACACACAGCCCCTTCTATTCTGGGGGGCTCCAGTCCGGTTACTTATCCCCGGCAAGCAAAAGACTATGTACAATGAATTTGGGGAAGATAGACAAGAAAAGAGAGAAGGGCTTAATTTCACCATCTATGATATGATATCGAGGACATGAGACGATACGATATATAGTAGGATATCCAATGCGATATAGTAGGATATCCAATGCAAGCCATGCTAAATCCCGCACGCACCCTATAGCATGTCACTGAGGATGTCAACTTATAAGCACAAAATTAATGCACTGAGAACCGAGCAACTGTCCACCACACCCTTCTCAGCTTGTCCGCTCAAATGCGACAAACTACATCTCTCCCTCCCTTACCTCATCATGTCTTTCCTCCTTAATCGCACTCACGCCAAATTTCCAATCACCACACATCCCGCATTCTTTCCCCACCTTTTCACTTCGACTCTACTGAACCTCCGCCGACCCCTCACAAAGTTCCCGCTTTCCAGACCCAAAAAAAAAAGCAAAAAAAATCCCGTCTTTTCGTCCATTTGCCTTGCATCACTATTACCAGATTTCCATCTTCTTCGATGTATTCTAGCAGCACCAACGAACTGTTTGACGTTGCTACTGCACATCCGAATACCCTTAACTGTTATATAATAATCATGCCACTGTCATTACTGCCATCCATCTCTCACATAGAGGCGACCACACTTGAGGAGTGCCATCGAACAAATACTATAGTAGAGTATCAGTAATAGTACTTCGGCGGCGCAGTGGTCGGGCCGTTGATGTTCATAAGCTCCACCTGGACGAAGGCTTTCAGGAAATCTCGCGCGAAACGTTTCGGTCTCTTGGCGTATTCCCGGACGAAGCGCGCTGTCCCCGAGTGGGTTGCAAACGCCTGATCTATCCGCAGCAGAGCTTGATGTTTCAACAGCAGCTTGAAGTACTTGTTGTCCAGCGAAAATGGCGTCCCGAAGTCGAACGAGACGTCGGCGTCCGGATCCCGACAGAGCTTCGCCAGCTTGCAGGCGAAGGCGGGATCGAGAGTCGGGTCCACCGGTTTCCGGCAGCCGCCAGGCGTGCTCCCGTTGTTGAGTCTCAACTTGAAGTGAGAGCAGGCGGATTTGCCCACACTGTGCCCTCCGAGAGAGAAAACGGTCACTTCTCTCAAGGACAACCCCAAACCTGTAAGCTTTCTCAGAATGACATCGAACGCCTCGACAGCATTGGGCAGAGTTTTGGGGTCGTCACCAGTCTGATTGTCGGCAATGTCCCTTCTCCCCAGCAGGAAACCGGCGGTGGTGGGATCGGCAAGGCCAGAGAACGCGATGGCAGCAGCGCCAGCTCTGGCTATGGTGTCCGCCATCGTCGGGTACACACCGCACTCCTTCGCCGCTCGCTGTCGAATCCTGGTGATGACTGGCACCGTGATCCGCACTCCTTCGTTGATGTCATCCGGATCCCTGATCTCGCCAGGCTTAAAAATGGACGCATCGCAGCCGCCACCCTTGGTCATGCAATCGTGGAAGGAGAGCCGTAACACCGTGGCAGCCATGGGCCTGTCCTTGAGAAATTCCTGATAAGAGTACTTCTTGATGGACTTCATAAGACACGCTGCATCGCCAGGATGATAAAGAGTAGAATCGATGACGCCCTGCCTCGGGCTGGAAGCACACACGGGAGGAGGAGGGCGATGCGAACTCCCTCCGCTCTGCACCACCGCGACCGTAGCCTGACCAACCGCGGAGCGAAAGCACAAGCAATAAAGCAGACAAACGAATAACATAAAACCAGCCCGTCCTCCTCCTGCTGCTCCTCGAAATCCGGAACTCCACCGATGATCCATCGATGCCGCTACCTTGCACAACAGCAACAAACCAAATGTGGTACAAACAACGTCGTGTGTAATGGGGTTGTGTGCGTTCGCACACACACACACACACTGTGACACACACACACACACACACACACACACACACACACACACACACACACACACACACACACAGAGAGAGAGAGAGAGAGAGAGAGAGAGAGAGNCACACACACACACACACACACACACACACACACACACACACAGAGAGAGAGAGAGAGAGAGAGAGAGAGAGAGAGAGAGAGAGAGAGAGAGAGACGCAGAGAAGAAGAGAAAGAAAGAACTGGATACGGCTGTACAGGGTAGCGAACGATAAGTTGTTACCTTCCACAGTGCGGCTCACATCTGACGACCGACTTCGGTAAGCGTCCCCGGGGACTTACTTATTGAAAAAGTTTTGGGCCATACGTCCGTGGCACGGCGGTAGATCGGTTCTTTTTTCTTTTTCTTTTTTTCTTTTTTTTTCTTTTTTGCAAGAAGGCCCTTGTGCAAGGCCTCTATCCCTGTGGTGGTAAGAGAACCACCGGGATTGAGGCTTTGTCAGGCGGCGGCAGATCGGTTCAAACTGAAGCCATTGCGAAATCGAGGGTCTGGTGTCACGTTCTCTGTGACTGAGGGTCCACGACCCTAATCGAATGACCTCGAATTCGAACCCCACGGAGAGTGGAGGGTTTCGGAGGCATGACTGTCCAAACAAAATGGGTTGGAGTGCACCTTACTATGAATAATAACACACGCAGGGTTGCCAGGCCGGATGTACGGAGGCCCCTAAGCCGACCCCCGAACGTTCAGGCGTTCGGCCCGAACCCAAAGGGGTATGGACCCAGCAAAAGAATATTTTGGCACCTAAAAATTATGATTTTTTTCTGAATTGTTTTGGTCAGTTCTTTGTAATGAAAGGTATCTGCCTCTTAATTTTGAAGGCATTTTAATGAAAAATAGGCAAAGGTTGTGGAACTTGTGGTGTCAAAACGTGCTTGCCCACTCACTAATTTTTTTTTTCACTTTTCACTTTTTGTTTTCCCTTTATTTTGGGACATGAAAATAATTATTATGTTTTTCAAACCATATTTGTAGGTTCTCTATTATGTAAGATACACATATATAAATTTTCATGGCATTTGCCAAAGCCAAAAAAAAATAAAAAATTGCCAAATATGGCGGTGTCTAGGGTCACCAGCCCGTACATACGGAGGTCCCCGGGCAGACCTCCCTGCGTACGGGTGTTCGGGGTCCCGTACGGGGTCCGAACCCGACGGTGTTCCCCGCCAAAAAATATTTTGGGACCTAAAAATAATTTGTTTTTAATGAGTTTTTTTTTGTGAGTTCTCTATGACGTCAGGTACATGCCTATATTATCAAGTCATTTAGCTCAGCCAAATAAGAATTAAAAATTGCCAAAGATGGCGGTGTCAAAACGTGCTCGCCCACGTTGTTTTTCACTTTTTACTTATTGTTTTCACTTTAGTTCGGGGTCTAAACAATTTTATTATTTTTTTTAACTTTTTTAGTGGGTTTTGCATTATGTAAAGTAAACATTTGTTAATTTTCAGGGCATTTAGCTATGCCAAGAAAAAAATAAAAATCGCCAAAGATGGCGGTGTCGAAAATGTGCTCGTGCACTCACTATTTTTTTTTTTTTTAATTAGTATTTGTTCTTCGTATTTTATTTTTATTTCAAA